CTCTCTCTCTCTCTCTCTCTCTCTCTCTCTCTCTCTCTCTCTCTCTCTCTCTCTCTCTCTCTCTCTCTGTGTGTGTGTGTGTGTGTGTGGGTGTGGGTGTCTCTCTCTCTTTCTCTCTCTATCTCCTACCCTCTCCCTCAATCCCGCTCCGTTTCCCTGTCTCTCTCTGTCTCTCTCTCTCTCCCCCACCCTCTCCCCCACCCTCTCCCTCAATCCCTCTCCCTTTCCCTCCCTCTCCCTCCCTCTCTCTTTTTCTGTCTCTCTTTCTGTCTCTCTCTTTCTCTCTCTCTCGCTCTTTCTCTGTGAGTGTGAATGTGTGTGTTGGTGTATGTTTTGCAGTGACTCAGCCCGGAAGTCAATTGAGGCCCTTCTCCCTGATGGCGATCTGAGCTCTCTAGTTCCTGTACTGGAGCACTTCGTGGTACGTATGACAACAGCCCTTTTTTCTTTGTCTCCTGTCATTGTCGATAACTTCGTGATATGATCTCGAATGATGACACCAAGAACCATGTTACTATTTCTTCAGGGCGTGTGGCGTATGCCCAAGTATTTTAAACCTGGTGGGAATTGCGATCATTTGGGGAACCCTCTAGGCAAGAACCTGGATATTTTAAAGCATGTCCAGTGATGAGAAATCATATAGCAACAAAGACCTCCTCCTTGTCTGTTTCTCCAAGAGTAAACTTTATAATAATGTCCTTTTTTTTCAGGACCACTTTACATAATGTCCTTTCTTTTCCTCGCACTCTCTGCAGGCGATAGCCCTTAGCTTTTGCGTCAACCAGGACTTGAACCCTTTACCTTTGGGTCTGTGGGGCTCTGTTTGCACCATGCAACCACAAGGCACGTACACAGCAACTGGTACACAGGAAGGGGTAGCCCTACAACAAGTGTACCTAGCCCTTCCTGTGTACCAGTTGCATTTGCCCTACAACAAGTGTACCTAGCCCTAATAATTTTGATGTCTTGTCTCAGCCGAAGTCGGACTTTGTCACATGTATGTAAGTGATCGGATGCAGTTCGATTTTAAAATGAATCCTCGCATGAGTACCCCGTGAGACCTTGAACTGAGGCAGATTCGTGCACTGTTTATTAAACTGCATGTCGCTTCAGAGAACTGAGGTGTGTATTCGCTGGTGTACTTGACCTGTCCCCCCCCCCCCCCCCCCCCCCCTTTTTTTTTTTTTGACAGGGTTCCCTTTCAAATTATCGGATTTGCATTTGTCTACTGAACCTAGAAATGCAATCTGCCGATCATTTATGCCTCCTCCATCTTCCTGCTTACGTGTGGCATTGTGGCCGTTGTCATCATCTCAGTATCGGACATTTATCCGCTTGCATTGTGAGTTTTTTGTAACTGGCAATTCGAAAACCAGCAGCGCATTTTGCATCTCTATGCTCTCCCTAGTGCAGCAAAGAGTTCTGATGCATTTTTTACCCTTGATTTTCTGTATGTTTATTGTTCGATGCCGATGCCTGCCTCTTAGTTTGCTGTTCTGTTTGTTCTGCTTGCCAATGTGATTTTCTAATCGGTTGATCCCATGCGTTGGTGATGGTGTTTCTTCGTTTGTCTATGCTGGTGGTGGTTGATAGG